TATCCAAGTATAATAAACACTACATCTAACATTATTTATTTATTATAAAAGAACATTTTGCAAGTCAGATCAATGCCAGTAGAAATGCTTCTATTTTATTCAACAGCATCTTTTCAGAGAGGAAAGTAAATCTCATTGGTACTTTAGGAAGTCAGAGGTAAAAAAAAAATCCCAATAGTCTTAAAAATCGTCCCGAATTACATTAACAAGCTGAGATTTTTACTCATAATTGGTTGTCAACAACTTCGATTTTAATTTTTGTTGGAAAAAAATCATAACATTTTCACTGAACGTTTATGTTCACATTTTCTATACGCAATAAAACTATCAAACTATTTTGACTCGTGTTCAGCTATTCACAGGCATATTCAATTTTCGATTATTATCGACAAAAATATATTTTCTATGTTAAAACACTGGAAAATTTAGGTAATACAAGGTTCCTAGTAAGTTGTTGTTAGTGGAAATAAAAAGAAAATTGGAGCCTGAAGCCTCAATAATATTGAGTTTTGAATTTAAAATGTTGACCAAATTATTAAAAACTAAAAATAAAAACTAATTTGAATTCGAAATTCATACAATTTATATATTTATACCTTATATTTGAAGATGTAACACAATATTCCCCTTAAGTTTTCCTACCAAATCATCCAAATAAATCTATGATTCATTTCGGTAAAATAAAATACAAACATTAGTTATTTGTTTTAAGTTTTAAACAAGATGACTCATTCAAATTCAATATTTTATTTTGATTTATGATCATACAATTTGAGAATGTGTTGGATGGATTATGTAAAATTATAATTTTTAATATTTTTAATAATAATAAAATTCAAAATTGTAATTTATGTATTATTATGCTAACATTTTGTTTACTTAAATAATTATTATATTACCTACTAAACCCAGGCTTATATAAAATACTCAGTCAACATTATATTACGACAGTACTATCTATTCTTTTTAAAATAACATAGTACTTCACTGAAATAAATGGTTTATATGGTAATAATTAAAATATACAGTTATAACTGTTTTTCAAATCTATAGTCGATTTAAAAATCCAAACACATTTTAGTTTTTAATTATTTTTAAACGCTAAAAAATATACCATATGATCCAATTTAAAATATTATATCAATATTATAATAATAAGATGTATACAGTTTTAAAATTTAAATTTATATTGATTATTATTCAATGAAAAATTATCATTTAATATTTTCACACTAAAAGTTTTCTTAAAGCAACAAGTAAAGAAAAAAAGTATAATCTGAGTTGCCATTAGGCATACAATATAATGACATCTTATAACTAATCTTAGAACATAAAAAATAATATTTTATTCGCTAAATTTATTAACTATTGTCTATTACGATAGAGTCGTACCTCATCATAGATAAAATAAATAAAATATAAAATAATTTTAAGGTATACAAATTTAAGTAGAAATATACTGTGTAGAAGTACTAACACAACTCCACATTGTAATGTTTTTTTGTTTTTTTATAACAATCATCTTGCTAAGTGTCAGTTGTTATTGGCTAGAATTGTATATGTATATATGTTATAAATCACTATTTTTATGAAAATAAATGGACAGTAAAAAATTTGTTTCACAATAATTGAATAGTCATATAAATAAACAAATCCATAGTCTATGGTTAAAAGAGAAGCAATTTTCACTAATTGTGCAACCATAGAATATGTCTTATATAATTTACATAAATACAACCAGTGCATCAATAGTTTTTTCTTACAACACTATAATTATTAACTTATAAAAAATTGGAGTGATAATTGCTACACGTTAAGTAAACAATTGTAAATCAGTATTTTTCCAAAATAGGGAAAACTTGAATGTCAGAAGAATTAAAATTTTCGTATATTCAATACAAATACCTGCAACAAAAATTTTAAAAAATTTTAAAAAATTGATTCTGAACACTTGTAAGTTAAATTTTTTTTTAAAGGTTAACTATAATTAAGTTTAACAATACTAGGATTAGGATAGTTCAAAATTATATAAATCGGTTATTGTATGTCATTAAAAATTATAATTGCTGATAAAATCATAGATAATATACTCACACTTCCATCAGATGCACTTGCTGCAACTTTGTCACCCCTAGGATTCCAGCAAACTTCAAAAATACCACCTGTTCCTTTATAACTATGAACTAATTGACCACTCTGAAATAAAAGCAGAAGAAATATTTTTTTATCCAAAAACTAAATGGAAGATTACTGTTGTTTAATATTATTATTTTTTATTTTTTTTAATGAATATTTACTTGTGTTGACCATATATGAACATATTTGTCAAGACTGCCAGATGCCAAAAACTTTCCATTGGGTGAAAAGGCTACACTGTAGACATTTTGAGTATGCTTGGACAGAGTATGCATGCATGTGCCTCGCTCAACATCCCACAAACGTATAGTAGAATCAAATGATCCACTAGTAATATTTATAGTAAATTATTAATGGTCGTGTTGTGAAATAAATTTATTATTGCAGTTACCTAGCAAGCATTAGATTCATGTTAGGATTGTCTGTTCCTGGACCGGTTGGACTCCATTTAATTGACTGAATTTCTTTCTTATGTGCTCTTAAATCAAGCAAACAAGTATCTTGTTTCATAGACCATATCTTCAAAGTCATGTCATCTGAACAAGATGCTAATATATTTCCTCTGGGAGCCCATTTAATAGCATTAACTTCCTTCTAAAAAGTATCACAATAATAAAATAACACGATATTTGTTGTTTTTAAAAGGAAACACAATGGTGACTTAATACTTAAATACAATAAATAAAAGATACTCTAAGTTATATTAAAAATTGAAAAGAAAGAAATTACTAACTGTATGCCCTTGGAATGTTTTTACTGGTCGACCAACACCTAAACGACAAACATGAATACAACCATCAGTACTGCATGATGCGAAATCAATGTTTGTTTTCCAATCTACATCAAATACTGGTGCTGTGTGGAATGCAAATTGCTGATTGCACTGGCCTGAAGCAGCGTCCCAAATAATAGCAGTCTAATATAAGCCAACAAAAAATTATGGAACAGAAGTCTTAAGAGAAAAATAAGATTATTTACTTCATCAGCTCCAGCACTGAGTACATAATTTCCTCTTTTATTCCATTTTAAAGAAAATATTGGACCCTTATGTCCGTGAAGAGTCCTTGATATTCTGCCATCTTTCATCCAAATTCGAGCATCGCCATCTATTGAACTGGTGGCTAATAATGTTCCATCACACTAAACATAAATAATAACTATTAGTAACAAAATAAAACACTTGTTTAAAATATAGAAAATAAGTCACATACATTCCAACCAATGGATAAAATTTCATTGGGTACTGGAATTTCTACTCCTTGAATATTTGGTCTCAACTGAAGTCCAGAAAGAACACCCGAACTGTTAGGAATATCCCAAATCCAAGCTGTACCATCACTTGATCTATACATTTAAATTGTTTTTTTCATTAAAATTAAAAATATAAAACGCCTTAGAACCTAGGTTTTAATAATTTTTAGTATGGTCTTATTTATAAATATTCACACTTGAATATATAATAAGGTACAATTTGAAATTTTTAAGTAATGATGTAATATAAGGTGTGTAAATTCTACATGTTGATTTTTTAAGCATGCTCATCCTTTTTTTAAGCTTAAATTAGGAATATATTCGAATTTAAATGTTTGGAATTTTTAAATACATTTTTAGATCACTTTTCGAACCGTTGAAATTTTCGTACCACTTAAGGATGGTCCAGTGACAATATAAACTTCAATTTTTTTAATAGAAACCTATCTTTTTCATTATTAATTATTAAGCACATATTTTTTTGTTGAAAAGTTTTATGCATCCAAATCAAAATTCAAGATAATAGTTTTTGAGTAATGTAACTTGGTGTTTTAAGGATAAAATGTCTATGCGAATGTCTTAGGTGCATAGGGGGTTGGGCGATTTGAAAAAGTAAGCAATTACCATTGATTTATCAATATAAATATTAAATAATTTGTAAATATAATCCAAGTATAATAAACACTATATCTAATATTATATTTAGTTTTCATTTTTATAAAACCATTTTCAAGGATTGTTTTTCTTAGTATAAACATTTTAATAACTCAGAAACTACTCAAAATAAAAAATAAAAAAGAGGTTCTGATTAAAAAAATAGAAGTTTTGAATAGCCAAAGGATACTCTTTAAGTAGCATAAAAAATATCAGAAATTTGAAAATATAGTCTTTAGGTCTATTTAAAAATTCTAACAGTCATAATTTGAATAAATGTACTATTAGAGGAAAAAATGGGGATGAGTATGCTTAAAAAAATCATTTTGTATAATTACCCAGAAGCAAGCACATCAGTAGTTGGATTCCATGCACAACAAAAAACTGGAGATTTATGACCCATAAGTAGAGTAGATTTTTCGGCAGGAATTTCAATTGTGTTGTCTAGCACTGGCCTCATTGTTTCAGTGCTAGTAACAGCTGGAGTCCCTGTTGTTGTGCCATTATCACCATTTGTTTTTGATGCATCATTCTTGACCACACTTTGTTTTTTTTTATTGTGGCTCTGTCGACTGGCTACAATGTCCGGCTTAACTGCATCAATTAAAGACAAACTCTCAGTCATAGGCTGTTCTAATCCATCTTCTCCAATGCATATTTCAGCTTCGGTGTAGTAAAGACCCTTTTGAATGATATTAATCAAAGCTCCTGGAGGAACCAAGGTTTTATTGATATCCTTTCCATACATTTTCAATTCATGACCAAACGTAAATGCCGAAAGTTTAAGACCTAAACGAAATATACATTTAACTCGAATATGGTGCAAAAAACAACTAAGGTTAATTGCAAATTGGTAATTGCACTTACCAGATTCTTGTAAGTATCGCAGAACGAGGAGGTTCAATTCATCAGCCGAAATATCCATAGTTTGAATGATTTTAAATGTATTAAAGTTAAATAAGCAATAATATTCTTCCTTCTCAAAGGTAGTATAAGACACTGAGAAGGTGACGCGTCTCGGCAGTCGCTTAGAGTTGAATTCAGTACTGCCACTTTGCCGGAGCTGAAAAACCAATGCATCGGCCAATCAGTAGCCTTCTCTCGGCGTCGTCGTTATCTGCTTTACTTCTTTTAGGTTACCTGAACCCGTAGATAATTTCGAAGAATTATTGAGATGGACCTTTTTTATTTATCTTTTCATATATATATGTATGTTTTCTATGTACTGCAGTAAAACAACCTAAAAACGACCACGTGCAAATATCCTTCAGCGGAAAACCTGTATTCCTGAATGCCTTGTGGTGTAACATGGCCGCCCAAAAACAAATATTTCGATTTTTTTTTGTAATATTTCAAATGTCAATGTTTTTATTTTAGTACTGCAATTATTATTATAATATCGTATATATACCAATATATTATGTTTATGTTATGTACATGTTTTCATGTATATGTATGTAAATGATTATGTTTTTCTTAAATTTTTAAACTTTAATCTCGTATGAATATAAATATAAATGTACGTACTATCGTGAATTTCAAATAATAAATTACTATCGAAACTACTATTGTTATGGCTGTCATGAATACAATTTTATTATAATAATATTTATAAAGCAGCGACAAAAAGTATGAATCTACAGTTAAGCGACATTATAATAGTCCGCTCATAAATGATTGCAAAAAATAAATTACTTCGATATTTTCAACTAATTTTTCAAATATTCAAATATTTTGTAGCATTATATTGAAATAATCATTATAACATATAAGAATACGTAAATAAATAAGTAAATTATTAAACTACTTACAATTCATATAAATATATACATTTTGCATTAATTTCATAGATTTGTTTTTAATTTTTGTGAAGTTTTGACACTTAATCGGTACTTCGCAATATCTATATTCGATAATAACGATTCATTTGGACCGTTTAAAGTGATCATAATATTATATAATATAATTAAATAAGTCCTATTTAAAAAAGTATAGTCCCTTCTTCGAGCGACATATCTCTTTATTCATACTTACAAATCTCATATGATAAGATTTTTATTAAATAAAAAGAAAATTTTAACTGTTTTGTATTATGGATTACGGAGTAATTATATTGAGACTAAAGTTATTACAATTGTAAATGTTAATTTATAAACATGAATTTTTGTGTATACAATTTGAACACGATATCTCCAAAATATCATTAAATAATATCTACATGAAAATCACTATACAATTTACAGAAGATATTTTTTGACTTGAGCCAAAATTGATTGCTCCTTATTTCTTTGTAGCAAAACTTTCAACACGAATTTCTGAATTAGAATAATTACTCACCTCACATGGAATACAATTATAAATATTTATAAACTTGAACATATTGCTATATATTATATAGCTTTAAATCAACAGTTGAACACACATTAAATTTGCGATCGCAATATGTATATATGTATATATTATTCACTTGCACTTGAAAGTTTAAAACTTTAAAGTATACTTTTATACTTTACGCCTACAAAGATATTTTTAAATTTAATATTTTCGGAAAAAACAATTCAACCTACTATGTATTACCAATAATTGTAAAATAAATTACTTTATTAGCAATAATATTATAAGATATACTTACCTTGTAGGTGATATCTTAGGCTGTCGGCTGATAGACCTACTTTATTCAGAATCATACACATGCTAAATGAATGTTTACATACTGCATACACATGACACAATATTTTATATTTTAAAAAATTAGGGTTAGTATTTTTTCGATTTCATAATTTTTATTTTTGTTTATTTTTATATTCTTATTGACCATTACTTTTTACTACCATATTTTATGCAGTATGACACTATCATATTGTAAGTACAATAGTCTTTATAAATCAACAGGAGAACACCACAATTGAATTTGTAAGACATTTTTCAATAAAACTACCTATAGTGATTTGATTATCAAGATATACGTATTATTTAAATATTAACCATTATAACTGTATTTGTATAATATAACAAAAAAAAAAATCATACAATTTAAAAGTATGGTGTTTTGACTTCAGAACATAAATGTAATACTTGACAATATTTGGTAACTATCCTGTGATTTTATACATAATATTGTTGACGAACGTTATAGAAATTAAAAATTTTTTTCTAAAAAAAATGAATGCCGATAAAAATGTTATAGTAGTAGTAACCGTAAATACTTTAAATATTCATTGAATGTTTATTTTATCATATTTTTCTTTATATGATAAGATTTTCAAAATATATTACTTGTTTTGAGATATTTATAGACATTTGAAATTTGAAATTATTTTAGTTTTTTTAATTTCAAATTAAGGATTTAAAACAAGCGCTCACATAAATAATGTATTCTGTAACCAAAATATCTAAAAAAATATAGGAACATAGTTTTATTTTATAATTATCTTAACTTCAAATTCGGACAAACCTATATATTAAACCCATGAATAAAGCATCTAGTTATTTTGTTGTTATTTAAAAATATTATTTGTAGGTACTTGAACTTAAAAATTATATTTTATTATATTTTATACACTGAATGACATTTTAAAATGCAATTAATTGGACAAAAATGTCTGTAACACTTATGGATATAATAGTAAAATAATTTACTTAAATCACTATGATATTATAAAATTTACCTACTTAGTAGCATTGTATGCTGACAGACAGTCTTCGCTCAGAATAGTTTTTAGTATCTATACACTGATTTTATAGGTATCATTGAATTCAAATTTAACACATCCGTTATAGTTACTCTCTATTTAAAAACTAATTATTCTAGTTACATAAATATACATAGTAAATGCAACAAGTATAAACATAATATAAATACCTGTAAATTGTAATTTTTGTAAATATAGAAGTATAGTGTTATATATAATTTTATGACAAAAAAATTTATGATAAGTAATTGATACAATTGATGTAAATTTAAAAAAAAAGGAATTTACTAACGTATGTAAAAGTCATTATAACTTTTTGGGAGCACATACGAATTGGTAAACTTCCTAACACTTCTCCTTAAAAACTTGTTAGTGTCTCCACTCTACACTATATATCTATGTACATTATACATACAGTGACTTTTAGAGCATGATTATAATACTAAAAATACTACATTTTATTTATTTTTTATTTTTATAAAACCATTTTTAAGGATAATTATTCTTAGCTTAAACATTTTGATAACTCAACATTTTTTTGGCTTATTCCGGGCCTTGTATGTCCTTCGCTGCATCCACTACACCTCTCCAATTCTCCCTGTCTATAATATCTAACTTGTGCGAATTATTATTAGTGTCGTCGTCTCTTGAATCTATGTGACAGTCTCAAATGATTTTAGTAGTAATAACTAGAGGTCAGATTTATATTCTCTTAAAATCCTTAAAATATGTTTTCATGTCACATAAAATAGGCAATATATTTTCTTAATATTCCTTTGAAATACCAGATATATGATGTTTTACTTCCTTAAATATACAAAATATTCTGTTTTAAGTATATTTAATTGAATTAATTTTACAATAACAATTAATAACTATATATTGTTCTATGGATAGTCGTGCCAGCTAACGAAATAACCGATGTGCTGTCGCAATCGATAAAGAATACCTGGAGATTAATTTTTATTTAAACGAGAAATATGTTCATTATATGCCGGATATTACAAAAATATTCTCAAACATTCTCTAACGTGTTAAATATTCTCTAACTCCTAAAATATGCTTTTTTATGTAAAATACATTTTTTCCTGTGAATTCTGTGTTTCACGATTTGTAAAGATTTCTCACTCCCACTTAACTGCATGGATTAGAAACAAATATGTAAAATCATAAAAATCCGACCTCTAGTAATAACTATAGTTATAGTAGTAGTTCAGCGTAAAGTAGTGGCAACTATAAGTTACTATGTTGCACCTAGCATAGCCGTATAATGAATATAATACTATCTGTTACCAATATTGCTAGAAGGCAATATTATGATGATATCGCAATACAATATAAATATAATAGTTTACCTAAAAAGTATAAATGAATATTATTATTAAATATAATTGCTGTACAGTTGTTTATTATTTACTTTATGACTTTTTTAATTGACTTTTTAATACAACTGTTTATAATAGATTATAATTTAGTATAAAAACCATTATTAAATCTCACCAAACTTATGTAACAGAGTTATAAGGTTATAGATGTGTAATTTATATGTATATTATATTTATGAATATAATATACAATAATAGTATAAAATGTCTGAGTTATGCATATTAAACAATGGACGGTACAAACTACAAAATGATCGTTCACCAAAAATATATGCTTACCAGAGTATATATACGCCTTTAATAAATAACAATATACTATGTAGGTTAAGGTAACACTGTACTTTTATAATATTCGTTACTCCGTGTGTAATTTAGTCTCTCTCGTAACTGGCTATAATGCCATAGTTAGCGTAGTCTCGTTAAAATATAAAAAATGTTAAATGTTTAAATTGTTTTATGTAATTTAAAATAAATGTCAAGCAATATTATTTTATTTGTTATCTTTAAAATACAACACAAAGATTGATAATTTAATAATTATATAGTAATATTTACCACATTTGAGTTCACGAGGGTACTGTATTTATTTATATTTCATTAACAATACAATAATTTAATTTTCATAAATATCAATATAAGAATTAGAATTATGAATTATAAATAAATAAAACCTGTTAACTGAATGTCAGTCAAACATATTTTAATTACATTTTTATAATGTTAAATTACTTAAATTCATATTTTACTCTCCAAATTTTATTTATGTTCAACATTTTTTAACATATTGACCAATACATGATAGTATTAAATTATTAATTTTCATATGTTAAAAACATAACAAGACCATA